TGGGCAAACTTTTGTTACTGTGATTTCTCCCATCTCCATTGTGGATTTCTACTTTGTATAGTGTAGTACACAAGGAAAGTAGACGGTTTAAGTATATTGGCTAACTATAGTCACTTGTTTTATTTTGGTCATAGTTTTCTGAAGGGCCTCAGAAAGAAATTACAGCTGGTGATTTCTGCTTCATTTCTTGATGACCTGCAGACCAATCTGCCTGGCCTTAAAAGAACACTTAGGTCCCCCCTATTTTTGATATCCATCTCTGTTGGCCCTAATCAGTGAGTAAATGGATCATCTAGTAGTAGACGAATAAATCATTGGAGCAGTGCTTCAGTCCTGGAGTGGGATGTGTCCCCCCAGCCCTTTCACTGACGCCTGGAGCTTATAACGAAAAGCTATGAATAATGGGAGAATGTGTTACCAAATGTAACTGCCTACAGTTTCTGAATGTAGGCAGAAAAAAAGGTTGAACTCTGTTGATCTAGAGAGAGGAATGAACCAGGATAATTTAAAATTTTTTCAAAAAGCATTTCAAGTGCTCTACTCTAAAAATGACCTCTTGCACAGTTGCTGAAAATGTCATCTGTAAGCCAGTGCACCTGCTCACATTTTTTGTGTGGACAAATGATTGTTACCTAATGTGATGTGGCCTTGTTCTAAGGCATAGGCCCCTAGAAACACTCATTTCACATGTTTTTTTCTGTCCCGTTTGTAGCTGCGACTGATAGATTGGGGTCTCGCAGAATTCTATCATCCTGCTCAGGAGTACAATGTTCGTGTAGCCTCAAGGTACTTCAAGGGACCGGAGCTCCTCGTGGACTATCAGGTACACTTGTTTAGCACAGCTACTCTGGGCTATTTATACTTGCTTAGGGCTTTTTCTCATTTGCTGTTTATCTAGTCAGTTTGGATACACTCAAAACCCAGCCATTATTTCACCCTAAAATGCTAATTTTAGTTTTTTCTTAGCTAGTTTTTTGGGGGACAGAGAAGTTTTTAAATCTAAAATATCTGTAAAGATTAAATGAAGACTAGAAATTCAGATCAGAACATTTCTAGGAGCCAGGAAGTTAAAAAAAAATTTTTTTAAATAATCTACGGCCATACCACCCTGAACACACCCAATCTCATCTAAAAAAGAAATTTATATCAGAAAAATGGATTTCTACTACCCTTGGCTGATGGGTTGTCCTTATTGCCTTAGATGTATGATTATAGCTTGGACATGTGGAGTTTGGGCTGTATGTTAGCAAGCATGATCTTTCGAAGGGAACCCTTCTTCCATGGACAGGACAACTATGACCAGGTGAGCAAACACAATCTGGTTCTTACTTATTTGGGGGTGAATGCCAAGAAAATAGCATCCGTAGATAGGAATACTATCCTTGAGCCACTAAATGTCACTCAGTGTCTGCATATGAGCTTTTCTTCAAGATAAAGATTGCACAGAATTTTGTGTTTGCCAGGTCCGCAGAAGTAGAGGCAGATAATGCTATCTGTGCCAGACTTCCAAAGTGAATGTGAAGAAGTCAGGCACCTCCTTGTCTAATAAAACTAGATTTTAGTCATTAGATTGTGATGCCCTGTACTTGTCCATCTATAGAAGATTATTATCATAAGTTGTGTTATTTTAAAGGCAGTTTGGAAATTTGCATTCATGTGAACTTCTTGTCCTTGGGTCTGCCTGCCTGCCCTGGACTCGGGTTTGTACCTGGTCCCTAGAGGGTTAGTGGTGTGGAAGTCTTCTGATTCTTTGGTAAAGCGTCCTCATGGGCTCACAGTATGTTCTGAGCTCAGTGATTTGGTCAGTTTGTTTTGTGTTTCAGCTTGTTCGCATTGCCAAGGTTCTGGGTACAGAAGAACTGTATGGGTATCTGAAGAAGTATCACATAGACCTAGATCCACACTTCAACGATATCCTGGGACAGTAAGTAAGAGAAAGAGTGCTTTACCTTACCCCGTTTCAGAAGTGGAAAGGTTAGCCAAAATCACTTTCTTTTCCTGTTGTAATTATAGTAAAATGGAAATAGCCGTCTTTTTTCCTATGCATATTTTCTTTTAACTTATTGAGAGATTTGGGCTTTATGTCTTTTAATCATTTTACTTCTCTGAGAGATAACCTATTAGTAGAAAAGGTAAAACAAAAATCATAATGTTACAGAAAAAAGTTTTCTGGTACAGCATAAGCTTCTTTTTAATGGCCAAACTTAGAGAGCGATGATTCTTTCAATAAGAGACTTAGTTTTTTTTATTTTATTTTATTTTACTTTATTTTATTTACTTCATACCTCTTCAAGGTGGAGAGACTTACAATTTCTTCTTGTTCTCCATAATGGTTTTTCTATACAATAGCAAATTTTAAAGTACATTGAGTTTTCAGGTACAGTGCAATAATGTTGAGAAGTAAACAGTTTGTTAACAGTTTTCAAACGGTGTTTTGTGTAACCTCGCTGTTCCTGAGGCTAGCCCTGGGAAATATATCTGCTGACCGATAAAAATTACCCACTGTCCTGCATGCCACCCAGAATTGACTAAAAGCCTACCGCATAAAAAATAATCTAGAAAGGTTCCGCATATTCTAAATCAGATATTCAGATATAGAAGTTTTACCTAGTTGTGTTTATCTAATCACAGAGCACCATTGTGTTTCAGGATGCTATGCTGTAACTATGGGGCAGTAAGGCAGGCACCAGTTAGAGATTCAACAAGCTTGTAATCAGTACATTATTCTAAGATATTTTTGGCTTTAGCCCTAGTAGATAAGGATTCTCGTTGAATTTAGTCTCTGATTACTGATGTTTCATTTTTCTTCTCAGACATTCACGGAAACGCTGGGAAAACTTTATCCATAGTGAGAACAGACACCTTGTCAGCCCTGAGGCCCTAGATCTTCTGGACAAACTTCTGCGATATGACCATCAACAGAGACTGACTGCCAAAGAGGCCATGGAGCATCCATACTTCTGTGAGTCTCCAGGCACTGTGTTCAGGGAGTCATTCGTTCAAGAGAACAAATCTTCCACTCTTTATCTTTGAGACCAGTCAGGAGAATTCTAGGGTATTTGGATTGGATTATTCCAGAATTTGACCTCATTTATTGTAGATGATTGAAACAACTTTGTAGATCCATTTCTTGATCACCAAAGGTGTTTGCTTATTCTCTGAATGTATCTCCCTTGAATTCAGGCTGTTTGACTACTCCCTGTTACCCTGAGTTAATAGATCACAAGTTTCTAAAATTTGTTTTCAAACATATATATATTTGTGTGGAAACCTACTTGAAGATTATTTCTCCCCTCAGAAAACTAGTAATTAGTTAAAAGTAGTAAGATAACCATTGTATATTTTGAAAGAAGGAGATGAACAGATGGATGGATGAAAGGAATTTGAGGAAAGGTAAATAGGTATGGAGAGACCTCACTGAAATCCTGACTGAACTGCTCACTTAGAAGTGTGTGCGCATTCACTTTGTGTGGTTGCTTATTGTTCTGCATGTGTGTGGTTCCTTCCACTGATAATGTGTGTTTCAAATAAACTTCCTGTTGTTATCAGTCTCCTTTCTGGGGAGCATGGCGGCTGAGAGACTTACCTCAGTTCGCTTTCTGAATCAAGATGGAAACATTCAACACTTAAAGTTGTTGTCTCTGGCTTAACCAATATGCTGTCTTTCCCTCTCCTTCGATTTCCTCTGGAGATGAACTAAATTCTTGCCTGAAGAATGTGTCGCTGTGGTCTTGAGCCTGTGGCCCGTATGCATAAGGGAGACCACAAATGGAAAAGCCTTCAGTCTTCTAGACCTCAGCCCCAGGGAACTCAGATGTCCCCACTCCAGTGTCTGGGACAGAAAGCTGGTTTTACCCGAGTTAGATCAAATTAGGAATACTGATGTTTATGACATGTCATTAATGATCTTTCTGCTTTTCTGAATATATGTCATACTTCAATTTAAAAAATTTCAAACTACGGTTGCTTAAAATGAATAGGTCTTCTAATGGCTCTTTGTACTCACCTTTCCTTTGAAGTGCTTATTATTCTACATGCTTTGAAGAAATTAGGGATTAGAGATGATACTAGTATTGAAAGAAAATAAAAATAGTAGAAATTTTGAACAGTGGGAAATTAGGGTTTCTATTGCCTCTTAGCAGTTGAGTCTGTACTCTGAGAAAGTGTAAGAGTTGACTGCAATAACGATTCCCCTGATCATTTCTCAGTGTTTGGTTTTTATGTGGCTGGAATTCCGTGATTTCCGTCTCCCCTGTTGCCCCCCTGACCCTGGCTTGCCCATCAGTCTGTCTCTCTCTCAGTTGAAAGGGTGGGTTTGCCATGGGCTTCTCTCAGCATTCACCACCCCGATTGCCTGACTTTCCTCCTGCTTTCTTGCAGACCCTGTGGTGAAGGAGCAGTCCCAGCCTTGTGCAGACAATGCTGTGCTTTCCAGTGGTCTCACGGCAGCACGATGAAGACTGGAAAGCGACGGGTAATGCGGCATTGATGCTTGCCAATAAAACCAACCAACCAAACACAAACCTTGAAGGAAAACTACAGTGTGATAAAAAGAAATTCTTATCGTTCCTTCTAAATGCAAAGAAGAGTAAAGACCTAAAAGTCTGTCAAAAAGCAAGAAAGAAACTCCCCAGTGCTAGTCTCCAGGGAGCTGCCACTGTGGCAGCATGGGGATGCACCTAGTTCAGGACCTGCAGGAGCTCTGCCTTTGGAATGCATGGGAGAGAGAGACTCGGAGTTGTTGTACATTTACCTTTGTTTAACAGGGCACCACTGTTGAATTAACCCATTCAGTCAACAAGCTCTGAATGTCTGACTTCCTATCTATTCCATGGTGGTCTGGGTTTCCTTTGGTGAAATTCAGGCTCAAGTCTTAGCGAAATGTCAGCAGTCTATACTGACACACCAGCCTCATTTACAAAAAGGAGATATTAAAACAGTGACAGTATTTTTTTTAAGCTCTTTACAAATCCATGTTTCATGTATTTTTTTATGACATGAGCTCTCCAGGAAATGTACCTCATCCCTGCAGTTTTCCTCCAAGTGGATTCATTTGGGAGCAAACTGCAGTCACTTTCACAAGAGCCCTCTTTGATGTCAGGAGGGATCACGAAACCTTACAATGCCATGAACTGGTCCGTGGGTATCATCAGAAGTTCCATGCTAAGTGCATAACTTGGAGCTCACTATAACCTTTGTTGATTTGCCTTACCATAAAATCTTGTTGCTATTTTTTTATTGCTTTTTCTGTTTGTTTTTTTTTTTTTGTTTTTTTTTTGTTTTTTTTTTGGCAGCCTTGTAAGAGAACGTCACCGTTTCCCAGCACATCCCTATGTGTGCGCCTATTTTAATACACCTCTCTGAAACAGAGACCTTTTTGTTCACAACCATAACTAAAGCTGGAAAGTCAGTCTTCAGGCAAGGCGAGGGAGGAAAACATCCCATTAGAATTTTTTCAGGAAAGACCGAAAAAGATATCCCTCTCCCACCTCCTTTTATCCCCATGAGATACAGTTTCCCACTGTAATATGCATTTGTGAGTTCTGATATGTGATTCATTTATGTGATGGCAAAGATAAGTCTGTCTTGCATGCAGGTACTAGAGTTGTCTGGGCAGGGTCATCTGAAACTCAAGCAACTGAGAGGAATATACAAGGGGCTTGGGGAAGAAAACGGTGCTCCCGGAGCAAGTGTTGGATCCATTGTGCAAACCTTCATGTTAGCAGAGAAAGCTAGAGTTTGATTAAACAAAAATAGGGCTGATTTCATTTGGGGGACTCAGCAGCAACATGGTTTGTAGGCAGTCCCCTCATCCCAGCTGCAGGGCCATGCCACAGCTCTGGGGACTTCACACACCTAGGCTAGAACTAGAGGTGTTTACCACATCACCCTTTAGGATTTCTTTATTAACTATTTAATAATGCCATACATTTTTATAAGGTTAGATTGTTTGTTTGAAACATTTGTTTACATTCCATATTCCAATAAAATCTTATTGGTATTGGTAGCAGGTCCTATCTCTAAACGTAGATTCTATTTTTGTCGTTTGGTCTGTGGGAACTTAAAATACAAATGAATCTCTTCTCTTATTATAGAGTTGAGTTTATAGAGTAAAAAATAAAAAATAAGATCCCAAAGCCAAGAAATGCATTCAGTTAAGGTTCTCATACCAATGCTGCCCGCTTGCATTGCACATGCTGTATACTAATGTAAACATTTGTTCTACCTGAAAATCAAAAGCAAGATGTGAGCTCTCGGCTAAACCTATATTGATATGTCAGGCAGCAAAACTCAGTGTTTTGGATTCTCAAAAGCCTTCTAATGTGCCCTGATAGGCAATCCTGAAGCATTGGTTATCATCAGGGAGATGTGCCACTGCGTGTCTTTCCTGCTCCCCCTCCAATCTCCTTTATCACCCACTCCTCAGCCCTCCCTTTTTTTTTTTAAGTTGCCTGTCTGGACCAGGCATGTGGAGCCTGCTGGAGGGTCTTGGCGAAGCGGTAACCCCATTCCTTTCCCGTGGGTCCCCCAAAGGTCATAAAAGTACCTGGAGGAGAAGAGTCAGGTGATTGACCTCTGCCTGTCTCTCTGACGGTTATGTAGGTGCAGACACCACCTGCCTGCCTTGTCCTAGGGTTTTATAACTGCAACTTTGACACAGGCATTCTTCTTTTAAGCACACAGCTTGCTTTTCCAGCACCTGGACTTTTACCTCTCTTCATGCCTTAGACTTAGACCATAACTGGGCTTGAAATGCTCACCCCTTCCTGGGTCTGGTCTTGGCACCTACGCCATTCTTTTCCAAACTGAAGTGAGTCCAGTTTCAGACCGTCTCTTTTCCTGTCTCCAAAAACCATTTTTGTTTCCAAACCTAGCTCCCCCGAAAATTTAAGACTATTTACCTAGATTCGGAGATGGTCTTGGAGAGTTCCAAAAGGGGTGTGTGTGTGTCTGTATGTGTGTCTGTGTGTCTAATATTTAGACTAAACCATGGTAAATGTACGCACCCAGTATCTTTTTCAATTAGCATATTCTTTCTTAAACTCATCTCAGTACTTTTCATTTGTTTGCTTCATTATCTTAAACAGGTTAAAAGTGCCTATGATAAGGACTTAATTATTTCCTAAAGAAAAGCAAAAAATGTGGGGAACAGGGTAGTGTTATACTATCATCTCAGGTACTGCCTATGTTCAAGAACATAGACCTGGTATGGTGAGAACAAAAGGTTCCTATGCCAAATCCAGATGGCTATATCATTTGTTGGCTACAGGTGAGCCTAACTGCCTGCAAGGTTTGCTTCTGCTGAGAAATCCCATGGTGAGAGTAGAACTCATGAAGTGCTGAGTCACATTTGCACCTCTGGTGTGGTGGCAGTTCACTCTCCCCTGGATGCTGTCAGCTGGCCTTGCTTTCGTCCTATCCCTGTAGGCAGGGTAGGTGGCTGGGTAGGAGAAGCTATTGAGTGTATGATGCAGACCAAGCTTTCCTGGGCCTTCTCGTCAACTAGAGAAGTGCTGATGTCATTCATTGAGGCACTTAAACACCAGTCACTCAGCCGGGCCTCCTCCCAGACATTCTGTAACATGTCAGCACTCACAAGGTTTAAAGCAAATGTGTTCCCTTGCAGAGAGGAAGGTGCTCTCAGACTGACAGATTAGAAGAGACAGACAAACTCGTAATCGTTGGGGACTTGAAGAGAGTGGCTAGGGGAGGGGCTGTTAAAAGGGACCAATAAGAAAAACTATCTAAAGGTAGCTCTTGAGGAGGAAATGTACTTCTTGAGGGGATAAATTAGAGGGTACCAAGTTTATGTTCTGGAATGCACCCTGGGGAGGGCGCTGCCCGCTGGATTGGTCCCAGTGGACTGAAAGGTGGTGCTCTCGAGTCAGGTGCTGAGTCCCGGAGAGAGCTGAGTGCTGCGGGGCTCATGGTCTGTGCCTACTCAGGGAAATGACTTAGGTTCTCCCAGGTGCTCTGTTGATAAGGATGGAAGCAGAACTACTTTGAGACACACGCAACAATTGGAAGAGTTTTTTTATATGAACTGAAGTAGATCTAAGAGAGCCCAGTTAACAGTTTCCTTTAATGCCAGTTCAGATTAAATGATTACTTTAGGAACCTGTGTTACTGTGTGAGCACCCACAGGAACAAGCAAACTTATTTCCTACAAATAAACGAGGGGATAATAACTGATCAGAGTCACAGTCGTTTCAATATAAACCCTTCCGAAAGCAAAAGCAGGGACCACATGAGCACACAAGAAGCCAAAGTTTGTCAGTGACCTTAATAAATTAAGACTGAGTAACATCCTGCCTTTAGAAAAAAATAACCCCACGGTGGAGACCAGGGCAGGGGAGGTGGCAGAGAAGCATCGGGCCAGATCAACCGCTAATAACATGCTTCTAAGCTATGTGGATGTGTAAATGCAAACACCCCCAACTAGGTATTGTAGAGGCTGGAAAAAGATGTGATGGGATTATACAGGTGTTGCATATTTTTGTGTTGAGACTCAACAATGTGCTACAAATGTGATACTTAACCCTGAACTGCATGTATTGGGGATTGTTTTTTAAAAAGAAAAAAAAAACTTTGAATCAATAAATTAACAGTTTTTCACTTGCTGGCTCTTCTTGCTGTAAATGGTGACTAAGAGGTTGGGACAGAAATCTTGACAACTAGTGGAAAACTTGGATAATCTTCAAGGACCATGGAGCCTTCTGTTTCCTTCTGTTTGCAGAAAAGCAACACTGCCTGGGTTATGATCCTTTACAAGTGACTACTTCAGACACAGTTGGCCACCTCTTTGTATCACTGGATGACTGATGTATGATTTATGTGCTGCTGCCCTTAGAGGGAAGAAAAATGCCATGTTAAATCCTGTTTTCTTAAATAAAAATGTTGACAATAACCAGCTTTCCCAAGTGGGAGACAAACCATTGCTATGAGGACCTTAACTTGTATTTCCTTTCTCTTTGGGGAGTGGGGAGGGATAAACGTTGAACTCCAAAGATGTGTGTTACACCTTGATGTGAAAACTTTCCTTTGGCAGAAGTGGGGCTAGAGTGGTGTCCTGGTGGGAGTGTTCCGTTTTTATGTACTTGCTTCTGAGTTGCGCCACTCAGACACCTGCTTCTTGGGATTGACTGTTTTAGTGCATGACTTTAACCTTGTGGCCCAGTGTTCTGCATTTGTGAAACACTCTCCCTAGCCCCATTCCTTGCAGCACAACGCTATTATTTGGCAGGTGGTGGTGTCTTTAATTAGTGTAGTTTCTTCTCACTGATCCTCTGGAGTGCTTGGAATCAGCTGAAGTGTTTAAAGGCAAATATAGTCATTTCTTTCTTAACCTTATGCACCACGCAGCCCTTCTCAAATACTACGCAGTGGAACCCTTCCTTTACCCAAAGAAAGTTTTCATGAAATAATTTTATGTGTGTGATAGCTTCCCAGGTGTATAGTCCTTTCTCAGTACTGTAGTGCTGTTCTGGGAGGCACTGCTTCTAGAATTCCGCTGCCGGCATCTCACCACCCACTTGCTCTGCTGGACCTGGAAGGAGAAATGAGGTTTTCAGGCCATGCCGGGCAGCTAGCTGTTTCCAGGGGAGAGTTAAAAATATTTGAGCTCACTTACTGCTCTTTGTTTATTAGTGGAGTCAGCCCTTTTTCTGAGTAAATACAGACCCCATCTTAGTCCTAAGACACCTCAGATAATCAGGTCAGGTCTGAGGGGGACCTAGAGCTGACTGCTGAATTTGTAGCTTGACTGGCACAGGATGGTCAAGAGTCTCCGAGCCTTCTCCATCAGCGCCCTGGACCTGAGGGATGGGGTAGGGTAGAAGACTGGGTCACAACACACGTGGTGCCTAGAGCACCCTTCCTGTGACAGAAGGCCATGCTAGAGACCATCTCTGTCATGATAATCAGAAGAGGAAGGCAGAGGGTACTGTTGGAAACCTGAACTCAGCGAGTTCTCGCAGGGTTCTCCACCAAGTGGCATGGGAAGGCCGAGCTTGCATTCTAGCGCAGGCCCTCCCGCACATGGAGGCCTCCCCTCGCCCGCTCAGGTTGATTAATGACGTCTTTCCCTCCTCCCGTCTCTTTCCCCAGGTCTGTTGCGGTTCTCCCACTTTTCCATAAGCAGAACAAGAACCAAATCAAACGTCTTAACGCGTATAGAGAGATCACGTTCCGTGAGCAGACACAAAACGGTGGCAGGTTTGGCGAGCACGAACTAGACCAAGCGAAGGGCAGCCCACCACCGTATATCAAACCTCACTTCCGAATGTAAAAGGCTCACTTGCCTTTGGCTTCCTGTTGACTTCTTCCCGACCCAGAAAGCATGGGGAATGTGAAGGGTATGCAGAATGTTGTTGGTTACTGTTGCTCCCAGAGCCCCTCAGCTCGTCCCGTGGCCGCCTGTTATTCCAGCAAACCACGCTAACTAGCTGACCACAGACTCCACAGTGGGGGGACGGGGGCAGTATGTGGCATGGCGGCAGTTACATATTATTATTTTAAAAGTATATATTATTGAATAAAAGGTTTTAAAAGAAACGTATGGAGAGTTTTCAGTATGGAAAGGGTCATGAACTGAGACTTGTGACTCAGGACGAGACAAAAGTGCATCTGTGCCAGGTTCTAACCAGATGAAGCAGGGGAGGTCCCTGGGGCACGGCGGGCCAGGTTTCATTTTTGTTTTTAGACAGGGTCTTGCTCTGTCACGAGGCTGGAGTGCAGTGGTGCAACAATAGCTCGAGCACTACAGCCTCGGCCTCCTGGCCTCAAGTGATCCTCCTGCTTCAGCCTCCTGAGCAGCTGGGATTACAGGTGGATGCCACCACACCTGGCAAGTTTTAAGTTTTTTTGTAGAAACAGGGTCTCACTATGTGGCCCAGGCTGGTCTCAAACTCTTGACTCAAGTGATCCTTTCTCCTCGTCCCCCTAAAGTGCTGGGACTACATAGAGGTGTGAGCCACCACACTCAGTCAAGGAGGGCCTGTTTGTAAGGACTCTGTTCCAGAGGTGAGTGGTAAGAGGTACACAGTGAACCAGTCTTAGGAATGGGGACAACATGGATGGCTGAAGTAGACTCAGCCAGGAAAGCGGGGCCTTGCCTTGGACACATTCCCACTGACCAGCATCCTCCCTGGCCTCTCCTTCAAAGAAGAGTCGCCTCCTGAGAATGCAGGAAGAAGCCTTGGCCCTTTTTTGGTTGCCCCTTTGCTCCCGTCTCTACATTTCATCCCATCTCAATCCTGTCCCCCGAGCACCCGCTACTGAAGAAAGGCCCCATCTCGGAGGCTTGTTGAGTCTGCTGTCCTGAGGCAGGAGCGGGGTCGGGGTCTCTGATCTGAGGGCTGCTTCTGACCACACGTTCTGAAGCATCCATGAGCTGGAAGGAAAAGCGGATACTCGGGGAGCTAGACGGAAGCACTGGTTGTATTTGTTAAACGGGAGAAACCCAGTGCTACAAATGAGACTTCACTGGCTCCCATGGTCCTCAGCTCGAGACAGCGGTGTCAGGGCAGGTGAAAGCAGTGGCCATGACCTTGTCCTGGCTGCTGGTTTGTGTCCTCCCACTGCCTGGGGGACAGCAGAAGCTATGGGCAGATCTAGACACCCAAGCCACTGGATGGCGCACCAGCTAGGTCTCCACAAAAGCAACTTGGTCCACACAACATTCTCTCTCCTCTGCAGCTAGTTCCGGCCCACGGTGGGCACCCGAGTGTGGATGTTCACAGTTTTTTAAGTGACTGTGGAGGAAAGCAAAGAGGCCCCTTTCAGGGCCACCACAGCATCATGGTGTCCTTTGGACCAGCTTCTGTGGCATCTAAGCTGTTGCTCAGGTGTGGGAGCTTGAGACTGCATCCCCTCTGGACACCAGCAGGTGAGGACCCATAGACCACCACCCGTGGGACACCAAGCAGATGGAGCTGGTGCTTTCCAGCCCCATCACTGGCCTAATTTTCTCAAGCTGGCTGTCTCGTGGGGCCCTTTGTGACTCAAGACTGTGCAAATTTCTGTGAGTCTCCCAGATCTCTGGGACGGCATCACAATACTTTTATTTTGTTGTACCTTGTACCTAGGAACATGCTTTGTGCGTGCATGTTTATCTCCACAGCACGTATCTGTGCTACTTAGCATGACTTACTGCCATTTGAGGTCTTTTCCGGACATGGAGGGTCTTATTCGAATAGAATCATTTGATTGGCTTGCATCTTGAGATGTCATGTAGAACTTGGAACCATAGCTCCCTCCTCCAATTTCCCCCCTCAGCCAAGTCTCTCTTTAACTGCTCCGTGTGGAAATCATGTTTCACAAATAATTTTCAGTTTTGTGGGTGATTATGGTTGAGTTGAGAAAGTATGTGGTTGTAGAAAAAAGGGAAAGGAGGTGATTTTTGAGTAGGTTGTTTTGACTTTTGAAAGCAGGGGACATGTCCTAACACTTAATAACACGAAAACCATCTTCAGCTCCTCCTCAATGTGCTTGGAGATTGAGAACATCAGCTCTCATCTCCCAGTGGTCCTGGTTGTGTTCTAAACAATATTGATTGCATTTTCCTGATTACCAAAGTAATATATGTTTGTGGTAAGAAACAACAACAACAACAAAATTCAAATGCTTAAAGAGAAGTAAATAACAAAAGCCCCCGCCCCCAGCCACACACACACACACACACACACCCCATGCTCACACGAAAACCTCTTCCTCCCTTAGAGGTAATCACCATTAAATTTTGTGTTTATCTTCCCATTTTGTTCCAATGCACTTACTATTTTAAAATTATAATTTTCATTTTTACATAAATGATAATCAGGCTATGCATTCTTATTCTGCAACTTGTATTTCCACTTAGTTGTGAAAACCTTACTGCATTAGCATGTATAAATCTACCTCATCCCTTTTCGTGGCTGCATGGTTTACGTGATACACCACAGTTGAATCAATCTGTTATTCATACACTTTGGATTGTTCCTAATTTTTCAGTATTACCAGTATTGCTGCAATAAACACATCTGCACATACATTTTTGGACAGTATGTATGTGGAATGAAATCTTTAAAAATTATGCTATATGATGTTTTTTAGAAAGGGTATTCTTACGATCCCAGAAAGCAGCCTCCCATCCCTTCCCTCACTGGTGCAGGCTGGAGCTGTGATGACTTTGGCCATGGAACTCTTGCAGGCCTCTATCAAGCACGCGGAGCACCGTGTCTGCAGCCTCTCAGCTTTCTAGGGGACTATAGAAATGTTTGAGACCTGAAGAAAGAAAACGTGTTGGCTCTAACCTAAGAAAGTTGAAAGTAAATATTAATAAGTGGAATTAAATGTCTTAATGTACAGCCTTGTGAGTGTCGCTCATTAAATTCAATATTTGCTTTTAAAAATATTTTTCTCATGATAAATTAGTGAAGAGTCACAGAATTGTCAGATAATTTCAAAAGCAAATTCTAAGGATTCTTCTCAAAAATCACAGAAGAAGAAAACAAATATGAAAAATTGTTGCATTTTAATGTATTTGAAATGCCATGGGAAAGATTTCATAAGTAAGCACAACGGCAGGGCATGGTGGCTCATGCCTGTAGTCCCAGCACTTTGGGAGGCCGAGGTGGGAGGATCGCCTAAGGCTGGGAGTTTGAGGTTGCAGTGAGCTATGATCACGCCACCGCACTCCAGCCTGGGTGACAGAGTGAGTTCCTGCTTTAAAAAAAAAAAAAAAAAAGCATGCTGAGGACCAGCATGTTTTAAAATAGCTCTGGCTGTAAGGGGCCGGGTGGCAGAATGGATGAACAATCTTTTACAGAATATTATTCTACAGGCTGTTAAAATAATGTGCATCTTAAATGCATTGTGCTAAGCGAAGAAGCCAGATCCATGTAGTTGGTGGTTGCCAAGGGTTAGGGATGACTACAAAACATAAGTATGAGGTCATTTCGGGGATGATGGAATTGTTCTGTGTTCTAAATGTGGTGGTGGTTATTTGACTTAGTGCCCTTGTCAAAACTTTACACCTAAAAAAGAGTACATTTGATTGTATGTACAGTTAAAAGTTCATTTTGAGACAGGGTCTTGCTCTGTTGCCCAGGCTGGAGTGCAGTGGTGTAATCATAGCTCACTGCAGTTCAACCTCCTGGGCTTAAATGATCTTCCCACCTCAGAGTCCTGAGTAGTTGGGACTACAAGCGCACACCACCACGCCTAGCTAATTTTTTAAAAGTTTTTAATAGAGACAAGGGCTTGCTATGTTTCCCAGGCTAGTCTCAAACTCCTGGGCTCAAGCGATCTTCCCGCCTCACCCTCCCAAAATGTTGGGATTACAGGTGTGAGTCACTGGGCCCAGCCTAAAATTAATTTTTTAAAATAATAGTAACGTGCAGGGCCTCACAGGCTCCCATTTAGACTCCACTCTCAGATGAGCAGGAACCTCATCTGCCCACCATGACTCTTCCTGATAGGCTCAATGGCTATCACTGCTGGGGCTGGGATACAGTTGTCCTTTGCCAGCTAGACACTCCAGTCATTCAGGGCACCCTTCCATCTTTG